GTGTGTGTGTGTGTGTGTGTGTGTTTGTGTCCGAGGAGTGCATATGTGCACACGCCACATTTCCCCGCGTCCTTGCAGAAAAATATTTCATTACTGCAACAAAAGAAGCCCATTAACCACAATATAAGAACAGAGTTCAACTACTGTCCCCCCCACCACATTCACCACGTTCATCTGCATTTCTGGCTGCTCTCCAGCTAATTTGATATAACAATGCTCGACAAAACCGTCTCTGGACCCTTTTTTTTAGGTGACTGAGAAATTATCAATGATGCCACATGCTCGGCTGAATGTCAACACCAACTTGACTTGTTTATAAAATATTAAAGCAGTGAATTACTGGCACCAGGCAGAACTTAATGATGATCGGAGTCATTACAACTTCAGCATCCTTTGTTTCAGAAAATGATTCAATTCCACTGCGACTGTAGTCAATTTGGGGGGAAACGAAATGTGTTTTTTCACGTCTTTTGTTTGAGGTGACTATCTGCTGTCCATTCTGCTACGTTTTGGAAGAGGGGCTAATTTATATATGGATATTGTTTTATATTTGGCTGCCAGATCACCAGGCTATATACACTCTGCCTCTTTAGAGAGATAAAGATCTTTTATTTTGTTAAACTGAGTGCTGAACTAATTATGATTTTTTTTTCTTTTAGGATGTGCTCCAATGAAATAAAAATTAAACGAGTCTTGAGGTTTCGGCTTACTTTATTGGTACAGTCGAGAGATATTTACAACATGCACACACAACTGGTGTAAAATAAGAACAAAATAAATAAACATAAAGTGTTTTGTGTACAACCTGGCACGACTTCTGACATTATCTCCCTCTCCATGTCACCGGGGTGTCGCCTCATCAATTATTGAACCAGTACTTCATGGTAATACATAATTTCTCATCTATTATTCATGGTAATGCGTGCGTAGTTTACTTAATTGTGTTATTGACTATCAAAAGTGATTTCCTGAAAATCCTCAAGGATGCAAATTGAATCAGCCAAACTACTGGCAGCGTGTGCTGAGGTTAAGTATTATCAATCTGATCAGCTGACCCTCCGTTCAAGAGTCATTCTAGTGCAGACACATAACGAATCAACAAATAGATCTTTTTGTTTCGATGTTTGAACAGCCCTGAGGTCGAGGTGTAAATTTGAGATGAAATATGCGCTATAACGGGATTTAATAAAACCGTTCAGTGACAGGCTGCGAGGAAGGGTGAGCGTTTCTATAAGTAAATAATACGAGTAACAATTGCTCTCCACTCCTGGCTTTAAGAGAAGCTGATAAATAATGTATCGGAACAGATGGCTGGAGCGAGAGGCAACAGGAGAGAAACATGAGCGACTACATCTTTAATTGTTTTAAAGAACATGTCACAGCAGGACTGGTGTGTTCGCTGTCTGCTGGCACCACAGCTGTGCTAACAGAGCGGGCGGCAGCTGAATATACTCTGACACTTTCTGCCTTCCATTCACACATAAACAAACTGTACATTTTATTTTTTTTTACAATAAAAAGGGCCGATTCGTTTTAAAGTGCACGTTCACTTTAAAATCAAAAGACGACGAGGTCATCGTTTGCCAAAACCTTGCAGAACCTTGAGTCCTGCCATCATTTTGACACATGCATTAACATTCACAATGTAAAAAAAAACATGTCCTCTCAATAAAAACAAGAGATATGAGGATTATTTGAATTCACATTGTCAAAGAGGCCTTTACTGCACACATCTAAGGTAGTCCAAGAGTGCATGGTGACAGACAAACATCCAAAACCACAGGTTATCAGGGCGACACGACCCCTCGCTTATTCACGTCTCACACTGATAATTTACAGTCAAATAAATAGTTTTTTTATTGTTCGCATCCAGACGGTGTGATCTCAGAAAAGTCTGTCCCAGGATGGAGTCAGCCGGTCGTTTGTGCTTCGTTGCTCGTCGGAGCCGAGCGGATTGGGAATAACAGGCACAGATTATCAGTACGTCCACATCCAGCGGCGCCTCACTTTTTCTCCAGCGGCTCCTTGGAGCAGTGGGCGTGTTTGTCGGGACCGCCGCCCAGGACGGGGACTTTCGTGGCCATGCCGGGACCGGAGGGGCCGCCGCCGCCGCCACCGTCCCCAGCTCTCGCGCCGGCCGTCTCGATGGCCGGGCCCGCCGCGGGCCTGACCACGCCGGCCGCGCTCACGCCCACCCCAGAGAGGACCCCCACGCCGGCGCCGGGCCCGGCCGCTGCGCCGAGGAGGTTGGCCGACTGCAGCACGGCCTCCGAGTGCTCGCGGGCCTTCATGCGCAGGGCCGCCACGCTGGCCGTGCGGTTGCCCTGACAGCCGTAGGGAGGCAGGAAGGACAGGCCCATGGGGTCAGAAACACAGCAGGAGCACAAACCGTTCCCTGGAAACAAACACATAAAAACAGTTGGATGTACAGCGCATTAAAAGCACATCTTCAGGTTAATGAGAATCATACCTTTCAGGGTGGCGACTTGTGAGAGGGCCTGGGCGTAGGTGGCCGAGTTGAGGAGTGTGCCTGGAATACATGATGGGAAAAACGGACCAGCTGGACCCACTGTCCTGTTGATACTGAAAATAAGAACACAAAGTGAACCTCAGTTCTCCAACATTAATATTAACATTTTCTAACTATATCAATAGAAAATGAGAGACGAGTTTATTCTAATCTGAGAAAGTTATTTTAGCCAGTTTGTCTGAAACACCTAAACAATCAGACACTTACAGATTATTTAAATCTAAAGAAATGATTAAAATATATTCAGTTACGTCAGCACTGAGGCCACTTTCCCAGCTTGTGAATCTTGTCTGTGTTCTAATAAATGAACATATTTAACGCTTCCTGTTGTAAAAAGTTTTCAAATTAGATTTGGCATCAATATTTGGCATATATACTTTTAGGCTGTAAATTATTTACTTCATTTTATTTAATGCTATAAGATTGATTTTAACACCTTTCTGAGAACAACATAAAAAGGCCCTTTCTCTTTTGCATTTATCTAGTTTTACTATGAATAAAGGAATAAACTGAACAAAATGAAATGAACAAATTCAAACGTTACTGTGAATAAATTTCCACCACAGCCACCTCTCACCTTTGCTGCATTTCCAGTGGTTCTTTCTGTTTTCTGCTGTGGTCCACGGGGGACTGGGAGTTGAGGCTGCGGGACGGAGGACTTCCGTCACTCATCTGCTCCTTCCCTCCCTCTGGGTCTGAACTCCCTCGCTCTGTCTTCCTCCACTTTGCTCTGCGGTTCTGAAACCAAACCTGCAAAAAAGAAAAGAAAAAGGGAAAAATAATCACATTTCTTCTTGCATATTGTTTTGGCACAGACAAACGTATATATAAATAAAAGGGGGAAAAAATCAGTCTCATTAACAGAAACAAATTTGCAGCAGCTCAGTTTTGTAAAAAAGGTGTCCCACAATGACTTTYCCCCCCCCAAAAAAAACTTCACGGTCCACACGGCGAAGAACAAGTTCTTGTATCTTAATCGAATGAAGGTCACTGCCTATAACAACATTTAATTGAGCAATTTTTCATTATCATATTTTAATGACTTCCCACTGACAGTTGTGCTGCCCGAGAGAGAGGCAGCTATGATGAAGTCGTTTATTTCCCTATTTAGTGATTGTTTGACAACATCAGATTCGATTAGGACTTGCTTCTAGCAGGCATTAATCATGATGTGTGAATGGAGGTTGGAGCCTGTGCGCATGCGCTCTGCATCCTTTCCCCCCCTCTTCTATTGTGACAGAAATGATGTCAACAGCCAAACAGAACGCGCGCATTCATTCGGCATAAAGAAAAGGCAACATTTTCATGGCAGGACAACAATACAGCCAGTGGACTTATCTCACCCCTGCACCTTCCTGCTAGAAGTCGCGCCCCCCCACGCGCACCCATCTCTGAATGGGCTATAATTGCTCCATTAATCTCAATTTGCCGCGTGCTCTTAATGCGGGGGAGGCCCCATTGACACTTTACAAAAAGGGGAAAAAAAAGGAGGGGGGCAACAACACTACAAGAGAAAGGAAATTTATTTTCTAATAATAATGTAAGTTTAATATCCCTGCATACTGCGGTGGATTCATGTTCAGATTTAATAATAGGAATGCGGTAATCGGATTAGGAGGGGGAATAATTTGTTTACAATCCCTAATTTACAGCGCTGGATTCCATTATCAACCCCGCCATTGGGTTTAAGCGATAGTAAGATGACCCTGGGGAACAAAAGGCAAACTATTATATTTCCTACAATTAGATCTGCGCCGCACAACAAAAAAACCCAAAAGCAAATCTGGAATGCAGGAAATTACATCCAGGACACCTAACTTAATTACATCTGGCCAAGTTTATAACCGCGCACATGTGCGGGCACGAGCGGAATATAAATGGGGCGAATTTCAGAAAACGAGCGCGCAAATCTGGGTTTTATTTATTTTTCTTTTTTTCTTTTTTTTTTTTTTTTTGACACTTTGGAAGCTTCTGACTTTTTCAAAAAATTTCATATTGTTTCCTGTTTGGGGCAAAAAGAAAAAAAAAAAGAAGTGAGCCCTGAATGGATGATGTATCCCTGCCTTTGAGAGGCGGACAAATTAGTGAAGAACATTATCGCTGCTTAATTATGAATGACCGATTAATCAAGCTAATCTAATATTCACCATTACGTTGATGTTATTAAAGTGTATCGTTGGGATGACTGAGTGGCTTCATTTACCCCCTCCTATACCCCCCACCCCCCACTTTCTTCTCCCTGCGTGGTCAGGACGCACGGCGCTGACGCACGGTGCCATACCTGCACTCTGGCCTCGGTCAGGTTGATCTTCATGGCCAGCTCCTCCCGGGTGAACACGTCCGGGTAGTGAGTCTGAGCAAACACCGCCTCCAGAGCCTCCAGCTGCAGGGACGCAAAACAAGCGCACATCAAGATGGTTCAAAACAAGATCAGTTTGTGGATTTTATCTTACTTTTTCTAAAAATAAATAATAATAATACAGATCTGAAACTGAAATAACTGAGAATAATTAGAAGATTTTAAATAAATATCCTCTGCTCACAATGTAATATTTTAAAAACGCTGCATTTACGTAGAAACTACATCAAACCAATTTATTGCAGTGATCTGAGAGGCAGAAATCTCTCTTCTTGTTGTTTTTAAACTTGGCCAACTTTTTATGAATTTGTCAGATCTGATCAATCTGTTTCATTTTGTTGTTCTCGGTGTTTATGTCCTGAAAAAAATAAATACTACTAATAAAAAAATAACAATAATTACCTGTTGTAAAGTGAAAGTTGTTCTGTTTCTGCGCTGCTTCCTCCGCAGAAAACCATCGTCAAAATCAGCCGGGGTGTGGTTTCCAAAGCCGCTTGAGTTCACTGAAGGAAACAGATGGTTCACAGTTTTATTTGATTTTGTTTTTGAATAAACGCAGCGTATGACAAAGAAAATCTGGACTGTTAAAGGAAAAGAAATGCAGCAGAACCCCACAGGCCTTGATAAACAGTGGCCAAATGGAGATTTTTTTTTATTTTATTTCCATTAGTTGCATAAAACATTGATGCTGGAGAGTCTAAAGGGAACCATGACGGACTAAGAGCCATGACACCCAACATCTGTGCCCGGGCCAAAACGTCCCCCCTCTGCCCCGGGGCCAAACTACCAGCGCTGCTCAAAACCCAGCCAACAGACTGACACAGCAGAAGGGGAACCAGATTTAACCCTTTACAGACACATTTGGATCTGCTGGAAACCTCAAGTTTCTTCAGAATAATTAAAGGTGTTTCCGTTTACATTTTCGGTCGAAACAAACCCCTCTTTAAATCCTTTTTTTAAATGTGAACTAAAGCACAAAAAGTCTTAATTTACACATAGGCTCTTAAAATATTTAACGGACTATTTTCTTTGAGAATAAGATCTAAATATGGTTTATTAAACGAGCCCAGGCCTGTATCCTCCGTGCGTAAAAGCGCGCCGCTTTAACACAAAACTTTATCAAACTCACACTTTGCAGCTGCGGGATTCAAAGCAAGAAACGGAGATGTTGGAAAGAATGGAAAAATAAAAAAACAATAATGAAAAACTCACACGTGTTGGAGCGACAGCACTCYCCGTCGAGCTGAGGCGGACAGTGGAAGTAGAACATCCTGCTTGGYGCGTCTCGGAGCTGAATCTGGAACACAGACAGGAATTAAAAAAAAAAAAAAAGTTTTCAGGCCGAAGCTTCTGGTCGGCTGCAGTTTCTACAGAGTCAGGCTGATCCGCGGCGGGGAGGTGAACAAATCGTCCTGGAAGGAGGAAGAAGAAGAAGAAGAGGAGGAGGAGGAGAGCATCCTACCTGCAGCCGGGATGCTGATGAGAGGGAGTTTGCGCTCTGCAGCTGCGCTTCTCCTGACTCTGTTTGGGAGTGTCCAGCACCTCTTTGGCTCGGCTTTTCTCTCTCTCTGACACACACACTTTCTCTCTTTCTCTCTCTCTCTCTGTGTGTGTGTGTGTGTGTTTCTCTCTGTGGGGTGTCCAGATGTCTCTATAACTGTATAACTGTCTACAGAGTGTCACGGCTTTCAGCGAGTGTCGCAGAATCTCACGCCTAATTGCTCCTAATCGGATTATCACGGCTTTGTCTGTCTCTCTCACCCCCACAACCCCCTGGTGTGTCCGCGTGCGTGTGCGCGCGCGAGGGGGGTGTTTTATTTATTTATTTTTATTATTTGCGTGTGCAGAAAGCCAGAAATAAAAATAAAAAAAAGAAAGAAAGAAAGGGGGGTGGAATATGGGGAGATATACCCAGGGTGGCAAACGCTTTTGCTCAGGTGCCCAAAGGAAAATAAAAAAATAAATAAATAAAAATTTCATCACAAGTGATTGTTATTCCAGGATCCAACATATTCCCCAACCATAAACATGCACACATACCCGCAGCACTTTTTTTTATTTGGTTCTTTCATATATTAAAAAAAAAGGAGGATGACTGCTTTTGGGTTTTAGATTGACTGYCGGGCGGGTTAATGGCCCGTCAGGGTGCGTTAGCGGGTCCACTTTACAAGGGGTTGCGCGCGCAGAGCACTCGCAAGGCCAAATTTTTGATTTTGTTCACAGCAAGGGGTCCCGCGATTTATTTCGCTTCCTCAGATAAATGACGTGCTGCGGGACCCTTTCAATTAGTTTTAAAGCGCATCGGGGACGAGCAGAGCGCAGACGCCATGCGTCTCTGAGGTGGAGGCGAAATGAGGCTGCGAGAAGCAGCTGAAATTTAGAAGAGGAGTGCGGGATTGGACCGAACCACATAAAGTGCAGAAAATCCCTTCTAATGGCGCGTAATTGGTTCTGTAATATCATTACAGGCGGWTAATGGCCAGTTACAGGGCCCCGCGCTATTAAGGCTTTCCCTGGCGTGCAGCGTTTATGTTATTAAAGGGGGAATATAATGATATTTTAGTTATTAAATGCGCGTAATTAATTTATGCACCACTGAAAATAAAGTTGTTATTATGACCTGGGTGAAGTGCGTGGAGAAAATTGAAATCAAATAACGCTTGATAACTTTATCCTAATATTTTTGGTCCAGACTCTGACAGGAGCGCGCGGGCCTGGAGTGAGTTTCCTGTCTGCGCGTGTCCTCTCCTGCCTTTCATGACTGCTTAGTTGACTAAATGACATTATTCTCTCATCTCAGCTTTGCAAATAAACACAATCTTGCAGATTGTGTGACCCATATTTGGGCCTTTATGTGGTTTCACCAGGACCCTGGTCATAAATCCAGCTAAAACTCTAATGATAATTTAAAAAAAAACTAATCTTTATTGTTGTTTGCATAAAAAATTTGATTAATTAGAAATATGTATTATTTAACCTTCTCCGATTCTGTCAATCAGTCTAGGTTTTATACAATAAATAAGCAGAAAAAAGCTACCTGTTTGAAGTTTTATTCCATATGGGGGAAAAATGCATTGCATTAATACTAAATAAAATATTGAAACTAAACCATTCATTCAGTGTTTTATTTTTGATTAGTCCTGATTCCACTCCCTCTGTTTAATATTGTGCCATAGTGTAAAGAAAAATGTCACGTATTTGACAAAGTTGAGGTCATGGAAATACGACAGCAAACATTTCATGTATCTGAGGTAATTTAGTTGAAGTTCATGACACGTACTGTACAAATGACCGATTTCAAGAATAACCAGGTAAAAAAAAAAAACAGTGAGAAGTTATTCAAGTTGTTCAAAAAGGCTTGACTGCACCAGATGTTTTAAACCAACTAAAAAAAGTTATTTACATTCAAAAAGTGCAAAACAAAAGTTAAAGCGGTGCAATTTTTTTCTGCAGTTAGGTCTTCTTTAAAAGCGCTTTTGTTAAAACATTTGCTGAATAATGTTTAATCAACCGTCGTAGTCGGGAGTGTGTTTTGACCTTTCATTAAAACAGAAGCACAGTCAAAACAAAAACATGTACATTAAGACACTGCAGCTTAAAAGATTTTCACATCTGGATCACAAAGTCTGCTTCTGTTAGCAAAAGTGTTCCTTCAGCTTCCACAGACCCTCCTGACCAGAGGTCCTGTGAAAGTCACAGATGCTCCTGAGTAGTTCTCTGAAGACGGGCGCCTGTTGCTGCGTCAGCCTCGGTTTGAAATACTCCAGCACTTCCTGTGTGCTGGCCTGTCCGTCCACGCTCGCCTGGAAGGCCACGAAGTTGCGCAGATCTACGAGCAGCTCGTCGTGTTCGGTGGGTGGGGCTGGAGGTTGGCTTGTTCTTGGAGCGTCTGCGCCTTCTTCTTCCTCCTCCTCCTCTTCCTCTGATCTCTGACTGGAGGGCTTGGAGATGTGATTACGAGCTCTCATCTTAGCCAGCAGAGAAGCTGACGACAGAGGGGCGGAGTTTGAGTCGCCGTCTGCTCCTTCCCCGCTGAAATGGGCCCCTGCTCCTGGTTTCTTTGAAATTAACTTCTTTACAATAGCAGCATCCTATAACAAAAAAAAAAAAAAAAAAAAAGAGAGAGAGATGCTGAACACAAAATCTAAAACCTACGAGGCCAGCGAGGGGACATGGGGGGAATTTTTTTCTTTTGCGTTCCCACTCTATACTATTGCGTTACCTCGCAATACTTTTTGCGTTCCCTCGCAAAAGTTGTTTATCACTGTTGTGCCTGTCGGTTTATTAACACATTCACGTGTTCACCATTAGCCCGTTAGCCTACTGCTTTAATTCAACTTCAGAGTGTATATCACACAGCCACGCATGGAAGTATGTCATGGGCTGATATTTTAACACAGTGCAGCCA